CCCGAGTCCAGCCGAGCTTGGAAGAACATCCTCTCCGGGCTACCAGTACCAACGTTGAGTCACTCGGTGTTTTCCTAAAAACCAGTTCACAGGGTGGATTTGTGCTCCTGCAACGCTCATGGAYGTATGGATAAATACAGCCACACATGCACAACTGTCATTACTTATTTGCCTCAAACACTAGAGTATYGTTTAACTCAAAATACATGGGTATTTCCAGGACGCTCCCTGCATTTCCAGGCTCCTCAGACAGCGACAGTGTGAGCCCTTCTATTTGCTCGGATCACCCCGCCATCGGAATATTAAATAACTGAGCAAGACCTGGGACCGAGCCCTGGCATAGGCTGCCCAGGGAGGCTGTGGAGGCTCCATCTATGGAGGTCTTCAAGATCTGCCTGGGTGCGACTGGTGCCCCAGGCTCTGGGTGTCGCTGCTGGAGCAGAAGGTTGGACTGGATGGTCTCTAGAGGTCCCTTCCAACCTCAATCGTCCTGTGACGACAGGCCTGGCAGGATATTTTTCCCCATCTACTTCTAGCCTGTGTCGCAGCRAGATGGTCCAAGGCTCTCCAGACACCCTCGACAAATACACTGAGGCATCAAATCAAGAGGAGTTTGAAGACAGAAACAGCTCCGAAGCAGAAAAAGGAGAAATCAGGAAAGGGGTTGGGGGGTGACGGGGGCTTTTTTCAGGAATATCGCATCTCAAGAGGGTTACCTACTCCGAGCTGCTCCTYGTGGGGATTTTTCCCAGCAGGGGAGCCCCTTTTTCCCGACCRCGACACCTGCCACTTCTGCAGGGCCCCATCCCACCCTGGGCACCGCACTCACCATCCCCAGCAAGTTTTGCGCTCACCGCTGCCCCTTTCCTAGGGATAAACCACTTGGAATTGCCTCATAGAAAGGGCTTGCAGGCTCCTCCGCACTCGTCTTCTCTTCGCATGGGGATCCTGCCAAAAAGCCCCTCGTTTTTGCCGACRTGCTTAAAAACTCCCTACCAGGAGCATCCACCAGGTAACACAGACTGCAGGGGAAAAGCTAATTCTCTAGAAAGCAAATCTACGTGTACGCTTCATGATTTAAAAAAAAGAACAATTTGGAAATTAACCTGTTAAGCATCTGCTTGCTGGGCTTCTGGAAGACTTCTACTTCTGTTTTGCATATAAGCAGCAGCAAAGTTTCTGGGGGATTTTGTTTAATGACCTGCTGTATTATRTTACGCTGCCACAAGTGGCACCTGGAAGCAGCAGAAATCCAAGGCAGTGACCAAAAATTAAGTAAAAGTAACAGAAACTGCAGCTTAATCTCTCGGCCAGTAGTCAAGCGAGTCACCAAGCAAAGAGTTGTCTTTAACGGCCTTGTCCAACTAATTACTTTTGACCTTTCTCTTTGAAAAAAAACCTCTTCCACTCGTTACCACACACATATATACAGGCACGCATATATGTATATATAATATATATAAAGCTTTTTCTCTTTTCTGAGGTAATGTAGCAAGAACACTGTTTACAAAGGGATTCACTGATATTTAGGCAAATACGCAAAACCCTAAACGCCTTCCCACATATCTCTGCTTTATTATTTAACTACTACGACCACTTAAAACCATGCCGCTAGCTAGAGTGCATGAAAGATGGGCTCACTTGCCCCCAAAGAAGCAATTTAGCTGTCCAAGGGAATTGATTAGATCCCTTGTATGTGTGTTGCACTTTCCCCGAGGCTATGCAATAAAATGTGTTTAAATAAATAAATAAATAAATAAATAAATAAAGAGCTCTTAAATATGACTCACAGAATGCCTTCCCCCCCCAAAAAAAAACATAAAAAATAGAAAAATGAATCCACAAGATTTTGGCAGATTTCCTAATTTCACATTCAAAGCATTTTTTAACGTTTGTTAATTCATGTAAACACGACGTTTTTTCATCTTCCTCAACATTTTCTCTATCTCACTTGGGTCAAGGCCAGCCTATACATCATCATGGACAAGGGCAGACTGGGCCCTCCAGATCCCTCGTACCCTATTGCACCATATTTGCACTTTTATTATTATAAATTTGGAAATATGCTGATTTTGCAGTCCTCAATAAGGATATAGCAGGCGCAAAAAAGGAAACACTCTTTCCACAACGCCTGGGCATTTTCCCCCTGTAAATACAGAGTAACCAAGGCAAGGAAGGAGTCAGAGCTTTCCTGGGCACAAAAGGTGTCGGTGGGTTTCGCAGCGCTACTAAATCTCAGCGGGTTGAAGCAACCGCTGGCACCAACCAGGTCTTGTGGGCCGCTCGATGCCGACAGGCCCTTTGTGGCCAGCAAACACCCCGCGGAAGGCCATAGGAGTGGAAAACCAAGCAGAGCAGCGAGTTTCGGAAGCGGGAGATGAGATAAGGGTTCCTCGGGGCATTTTTTTGYCCGCTCTGGAAGATGCTCCAGCTTTCACGAGCCATCACCCGTTTCATCCGCTTGCTTTACTCAAGTTGTTCCCTCTGATGGGGGATCCACAACTCTCCCTTCGGGCAACTTCCTCCTAGTTACTCAAATACAAAGACGGATAAAAATGCCAAAATCAGAATTTTCTCACCAAACTTCACTTGGGAAAAAAAAAAAAGGAAAAAAATGGGGCAGTTGAGGGGGGCAAAACGTTGCCCTTTGTATCTTTTAGGTATATAAAACTCATGAGAGCCCAAAGTCCACTTTCACACCAGCAAGGCAAATCCACAGCACCGAAGCAGGAACCGCGCACTCCRAAACGTACTTTAAGCATCTTGCTTCTTTAAGCAACTTGCTTCTAGCAGTTCTCCCTTCATTGCTGCCATAAGTAGCCAAATGCAACACCAGAGCACCCTGAAGACGCCCTGCCTTGGTGTTAATGTTACCAAGGCCAGAGGTTGCTTCCAAGCACSCGGGAGCCGCATTTGGGTCTCATGTGGAAATACAGGAGAAAATGCACAATTTAGGCACTCAAAGTAGGTGAGGCCAAGTAGGTGTTGCTGGCACCTAGCTAATCCAGGAAACCTTTTAATACAGGAACACATATAGGAAAACACCCCAGTGTCACTCTTTTCAGCTTTTTTTCTTTTTACATAGCAAGATAGCAAAATAAATTATTTGGGGGCACTCATCCCCAAACAAAGCACATCCACACATTCAAGGGGAATCAACACATCTATCACCCATAAAGCCACACAAACACCAAAAAAAAAAAAGGGAAAAAGGGGGAAAAAGAAGAAGGAAAAAGAAGAAGGAAAAAAGCCACTTTAGACACTTTTCCCTCCACTTTTTGAGGCCTCCTCACAACACCTGAAAGCGGAGCCAGAGCTGCCACCATTTTATGCCTGCTCGCACCCACACACACCTGGGGGGTAGGCGGAGAGGATTACATGCCTTATAAAAACACTTTTTAACTTTTCTTTTTCACTTTTAACTTTTTAAACGCTGTTGCATAGGCGCCTTAGTTCACTTAAGTGTTATGGACGGAAAGACGGCGGGTAACCCAGCCCTGCCCAGGCGAGGCTGCTGTGGGCTCCACTTGCACCCAGGGCAGATACCGGGGGGGCTCTGGGGGGCAYCGTGGCCGTCTTCTGCCCCCCTCCCTGCCACGCACCTGGGCCCGGTCCCAGCGTTGCCAAATGGCGGCGGCCTCATGGTAGGAGGGGTGGAGGGGGTTGGCGCTTGCTACTTTCCGCTACTTTCTCCCCGCAGCTTTTTTTTTTTTTTTTAAAAAAAAAAAAAACTCAGAGCGATTCGCCTTAAAAGGGCAAAATATCTGCGGAGCGGCTGGGGGAGGCGGATGGAGGCGGGCAGGGGCCTCCCCGCCATTGCCCGCCGCCCCCGTTGCCAGGAGACGGCACAGAGCCGCCATGGCGCCTCATGGCGGGCCCGGCCCCCGGCCCCGGCGGCCACGCGGCCCGGGCCACCCCCATGGCCTCGCTTCGTGCAGTGGCCGCGGCCGCCTCCTCGCGCGTGGCCGCGGCACCGCGGGGCGTCGAGGGCGCAGGCCCGGCTGCGTGCCCAGGTGGCGGCGGGTGACACCAACCCTTTATGCATATATAATATATATATATATATGTATATATAAAAGGGTTGAGCCAAGTCTCTTTGGCTTTACGTGCCAGTCATGAAACAAATATCACAAAATGCACAGGGATGCTGGGGCAGGGGAGGCGCCGCCAGGGCTCCGTACCCCGATGCCAATGGCAGTGGCGGCAGGTGTGAACCCAGGACAGCCTGTGCCTGGGTTCAGCCTTCCCAGCTCCGGACATTTTCCCCTCTGAGCGGCGACTCGGCACCGACCTCCCCGTGGGGCAGAGCAGCCTCGGCCCCCACAGGGCAACCCGCAAACACCTTCGCTCCAGCGCAGAGGAGGCTGCTCTGTCCCCTTATCCCTGTCCCCTGGCCAGGTTGCTCCACTTGCGACCCTCTGCTCCACTCGCATCCCTCTGCTCCTCTCACATCCCTCTGCTCTGTTCATATCCTTGTGCTCCGCTCGCATCCCTTCTCCCCGCTCCCATCTCTTCTCCCTTCTCCGTTCGCATCCCTTCTCCCCGCTCGCATCCTCTGCTCCTCTCACATCCTTTCTCCCTGCTCTCATCCCTTCCCGCACCAGTGCTCCGGGACCAGCAGTCGCCACCGGGCATCACCAGCCTCTACCCAAACTTGCTGCCCGGCCTGACCCCCTTGCGTGTCCGGGACGGTTTGGGGGCTGCGAGGCAGGGGGGCTCCCCCGGCAGGGCCCCATCCTGCCCCGCCACGCGCAGCGATGCCACCGTGGCCACAAACACACAACTTTTTCCCCCAGAAAAACTCGCAACTTGGAGCCGACGCCAAGGGGGAGGGAGAAGGAGCCGGGCCGGGGAGAGAGACGACATGAGCGTGGCCGCCCACAGGCAGCGGGCACGGGGGGGCAGAGCGGCGGCTCCACAGCCAGGTCCCCCCACACACACGCGCACCCCATGGGGGGGGGAGTTGCACCCCATATTCCCACCGCTCCTCCTGTGCTTACTGCGGGCTCTTGGGGTAGCAGGGCAGGGTGACGTGGCTGAGGTCCTGGATATCGAAGGCGGTGGGCTCGGCGGAGATCGCCTGCCGCTTGGTGCGCTGCTCGCCCTGCAAGGCGCTCTGCTGCTGCGCCTGCTGCTGCTGCGCCTGCTGCTGCTGCTGCGCCTGCTGCGTGGCGGGCCGGATCACCGAGCGGTACTTGTCCAGCTCGTTCTGCAGCTTCTGGATCAGTTCGTCCTTCTGGTCCAGCTCGAGCTCCAGCTCGTCGATGAGCGCATCGCGCTGCCGCAGCTCCTCAATCTTCTCCTGCAGCGCGTACTGGAGATCCCGCAAAGTGCCCATGCTCCTCGCCGCCGCCTCGCCGGGCAACTTTCCCCCCACCCTCCCCTCCCGCCCCCCTTTTCCTTCTTTCCTTCCCCCCCCACCCTCCCTTTCGTGGCACTTGGGCCAACTTCCCCCGCTGCCGCCGCCGCTGCCGCCCGCCTCGTTAGGGGCGATTTCGATCCGCCTGCGTCAGGCTGGGCTGGAGCGGGCGCGCCGGAGCCGGGCGCACATGCATGCACACACACGCACACATAGCACACACGCCGAGCAGGAGGAGGAGGAGGAGGAGGCAGCGAGCAAGGAAGGGGCGTCCGCGCCGATGCTCTTTCGCCGCGCCTCGCTCCTTCCCCCCGCTCGTCTCCCGCCGCCTCCTCCCGACACCCCCGCACCCCACAAAGCAAGGGGGGCAAGCAGGACGCGAACCCGCGACCCGACAGCACCGCCCCCCCCCACACACACCCCCCCTAAGCGCGTCCCCCCGAGCGGGGCTGGCGCCTTCCCCCCCGCCCCGGATTCCCACCGCGTGGGGTGCAAAAAAGGGCTCTGTTTAGGTTTGTTTCTCATCATTATTGTTTTTACTCCCCTCTTTCTATTATCACCTACTGGCAGGAGCCCAAAGTTCCACATTTCGACCCACAGGTGCTCTTTATAAAATCCCCAAAATCTTCTGAGCGTTGATGTTTTAAAGGAACACGGCATCAAATACATGTACTCTAGAAATGAACGGTAAATGAGCTATTTTAAGAGTATCCAGCAAACATGCTTGAACTCTAGCTTTGGGGCTTATTTTTCCCCCCTGTGGAAGTGACTAAATGGGGGGACTTTAGTATCTTCCCCCCTGTGGAATATTGCTAAAGGCAGAGGTGACACAAACTTCTGCCCAAGCAGGGCCACGACATGGTTAAGCAAAGTCCTCCGGGAAGTGTTGAACATAATTTCTTCAAAACAAGCCACAAAACCACGTTATTGGATTTCTGTGAGGGGTGTGTGACCTGGGACAGGGACGTACACATCARAAAGGATCCGGAGGAGGAAAAACTCCACGGGACACGGTGCTCCACAGAGGATGACACATGCCCTGAGGCATCGCCTGCTCGGGGTGCAGGACCTTCTCCTGCAAGGGGTTCTGCCCCATGGTTAGAGCAACCCACCCCTGTGCTGCTTAGACCCTGAGATAACGGTGCCTGGCTTTGCGGGAAATAAAACCAGCCAGGAATTCATCTAATGAGAGCTAAAGGAATGATAGATATTGGCAGGCGGGAAGTGGGCTCTCCAATAAAACAGCTTTTTTCCACGGTGCAGGCTTTGGATCTATGGCTACGGTGAGCAGCAGTCAGCATTCCTGGTGCTAGGATGCGGCTGAGGAAGCCCATGAAGGTCTCGACAAGCCTTGGGCCGAGCCCTGCACTGCAAAGGCTGCAGCCAGCGGCCTCTTTGGGGGATGTTTTTCACTACCCTTCTCAGGAGACCATCCTCTGAGGGGTGTTTGGGGACCTCACCTCAGGCTTCAGACCTTGAGGCTCCTGGCTGCCTTGCAGCACCAGGTCCTGCTGCCCCCGTCCCATCGCAATAAATCTCATCATCCCATTCTTTTTCATTTTTTTTCTTCTTTCCAGCTGTAATTTCCCAGCAGAAAAAGAAAACAACCTCAAGGTTTTTTTCAGAGCAGCTGCTTCCATCTTCTCCAGCGAGCGAACGAGACGGAAAAGCGCTGCCTGCAGGAATGGCAGGAATGCAAGGAYGGACTCGGAGACGGCAAAACGCAGCCTGCCCCTAGTTTGTTAAGGGAGCTGGGAACTTCTTCTGGGTTGCCACCTTCCAAGCTCAGAACGTGTTTGAAAGGCTCTTCCTACATGGAAAGCGGCACTGAACCGCACGGAGGGCAGGCGGTCACGCACCGCTGCGAGCTGGACGGCTGACAGGCGAACGGCCCCTTGCTCCGGTCAGCCAGGACRGCGCGGAAGAAGCTAGACATGCCTCCTGAGCACATGCATAAACATTTCCCTTCCACCCTTTCTTCCCCCCCTCTTTATTTTTCCATTGCCAAAATATCCGCGGGCGCAGGTGAGCCAGTGCGGGGAAAGGGAGCCTTGGCCTGGCTGGAGCCCCCCTTGCCTCCTCTTTGCCTTGGTTTTGTGTAGTCCGGGAAGGAACCAGTGTGACTTGAGCTGCTGCTGGATGTGGAGCCCCTTGCAAAGACACCCTCCCCACATGCTCGTTTGCAGCAATCCCGTCAYGGGGCGAAGGCGGCTGCAAGTGCGAGCACTGCTTTGCTCTCGGCTAAACCCCACCTATCCCTAAGCAAAATCAAATTGATGGCACAGGTGGGTTATTTCAGTGTTTCTTCTTTAAGATGCATTCATTTTTCTGTGTGCCATTATCACTAAGAAACACTGGGAAGCAGCTCCTGTGAAACACGTGCGACCGCTGCTGCCCACCTTAGGAAATCTCCCCGTACAAGGATTGTTCTGCATAGACACAGGGCATGAGAAAGATACCCCAGATCTATTAACTGACAAAAAAAAAAAAAAAAAAAAAGAAGAAAAATATGCTCGTTGCAGAGGCAAGAAGGAAAAAGAAGAGTGTGCTGCACTGTAATTGGTAATGTGCTTAGCTTTTTATATCACATTAGAGGCATACATAATAACACAAAAATGAATGCTTGTGTCAGGCGAGGCGAAATGAGGAGACATTACAACGGAATGATAGTGCTGGATTAGCCAGATAACGCAGCCGTTTCTGTCCCTCGGCCCCCAACATCCTCACAGGCGTGTGCCGAAATCAGATTAAGAGGCGAGTTTCCCGGACTCCTTCACGGGCCCTTTGCCCAGTAAAATTAAAGGCATGAAGAACATAGACTGAAAGAGTCCTCAGCATGAAAGCTAATCCTACCCACCTCGTTTTGCAGTCCAGGCAGAAGTTTCCACCTGCAGTTCCTGCTGGAACTGCAGAACCTCAAAGGCTGAGGAACACCTTCATGAGAAGAACCCGAGCTTTGCGTATAAATGGCACAACAAAAACTAGCCTCGCTGTCTGTAAGATAGGAGGGAGAATGCAGATTCAACAAGCCCATCAAGAGTCCATTACTTCTATCAGAACAACCCTAAGAGCCGACCCTGGCTTTGCCCCCTTACTAACAAGACCCTGTTGAGAGCTAACCTGCCTATTTGCAGAGACTGCAGATCCTCCGTCCAGAAAGCACCYGACGCTCTTCAGTTGACTGGCATCACATCTCTCCTCTAGCTGTCTCACAATGGTTGGATTCTAACAGCTTTTCCCACGCGATGATCAGTTGTGGTGGCAGAAGGTCTCCCACCCCTTCGCTGTGGTGCCTGTTTGGTGCTTGCGAGTCTCTGTGGGGCAGTAGGAAGGCAGGACATAGGTTTGCTGGGAGCACCTGGGTTCTCCTGTTGTGCCCCGAAACCAGAGCTCTGGCGCTGGGCTTTCTGCAGGAGAGAGTGAACCCACGTCTCCAGGCTACCCCTAGACAGAAGGGGAGCTGCAAGTGGGAAGCAGGTCTCCAGGTAGGTCTGGAGCAGAGCTAGCTCCACAATCCCCAATCCTGAGCCCTGCCATCCATCCGCACCTCAAGTGACTGCCTTATTTTCTCCCTCCTGTGAAAGAGGGCTGATGTCCAGCTAAGCCAGGGCCAAGCAAAGCTTGAGCACATCCACGTGTGGCTGAAATTAAGCCAGAAGCACCTTCAAAATGATCCAGCTGCCTTAAGAAATCTCCTCAGGTTCCTGCTAAGCAGCAACTTGTTCTGAAAACTGCCAGGAGAAGTTCTTGGTGCGCTTTTCCAGTTACTACAATTAGACACTGCCTCTGCCCCTGCTTTTCTCAGCAGTCCCAGGGCACTGAGTATGTAGAGCAAAAGCAGCGACTGAACAAGCAGAGCCCTGGAAACGCAGCTTTCTTTTGCTCTCAGCCAAAAAAGCTACGGGGAAATGAACCCAGGGACCAATTATCCTCAATGTAAGGAAGCAGAGCTCCTCTTGAAACCACCATGCTTTAACGGTATAAAGCAGGTGAAGTTTGTAGGAAAAGTGAATGTGGTTGACACAGCTGGAGAGCAGGTAGAAGCTGAGGAGCTCGCAGTTACGTTCTGGCTCATGCCGAGGTGGCTGAGAAGGCCCTTCTCCCCCCGCTTCTCACCTCGTGCCAGGAGAATTCATTCACYTGCCAGGATGTGGAGCGTAGCCTCTCAGGGCATCCATCCATCGGGCTCATTTTATCTTCACTATTCAACATAGTCCTCCTCTGCTATCCGGTATCTCCAGGTCTCAGTAAAGAGGTGGCAGAGCTCTGTGACTCATCTGTTCACCAGCCCATGGACCAGACGGCACAGGGTGGCTGCCAGAGGACACAAAGAACCCAGCCTGGTCACGCAAGGGAGACAGAACCCGAGTGCTGTATAGAGCCCTGCACATCACCTGATGACCAGTGCACCCTGAAGGCTTCCCAAGCCTCATCTACAGAGGCACCTACACGGCCAGTGGCCTTACGGTCACCTCACATACTCCATGCATCATCTTTGCATTAAGTTGCTCAAGAAAGGTGTCGAGCTGACGCTGTTGTGTTACATGATCGAGACACTCAGGTACTGAACGGAGCCTGGGGACATCTGGGGTCAGATCCCATCTTCATGCAGCTGGCTCTGACTTCACATGCACCYGCTAAGCTTCTCCGGGTGAGACCATCTCCCAGGATGTCTTCTAATCAGCAATCCCAGGTGCTCCCTCTCATCGCCTTTTGGACCCCGCAGTGTTTTTCATCTCTTACCAGCCATGAACCTCTCAACCACCATAACCAGCCTGGTCTGGCGGGCTGGCTCATCAAGCCTTCAAAACAACTCATTTATATTTGAAATTGGATTAGTAATAAACACGCATTACGCTATCACTAGGAAAACAACCGGGGTGTTAGCATCRTTTTATGATGAATGCATTGCAAACAAGGATACTGCCTCTTATGTAATCAGATTCATTCCCATGCTGATTAAAATACATTAACTTTTC